TTTGCTCCAGAGGTTATGAGCATTCTATGCATGATTATTCATTATTCAATAGAATGAATGGGACATCTTTGGTGAAGTAGCAGTGTATGTTGATGATTTGATACTCACTGGAATAGATCTTGAAGAAATAGAACTTTTGATGAAGTTCTTACATGATAGTTTCAAGATTAACGATCTGGGAAGAATACACTATTTCCTTGGACTGGAAATTCTCTACAAGAATGATGAACTCATTATTTCCCAAAGAAAGTTTGTCATTGATCTCCTAAAAGAATATGACCGTCTCAGTTACAACGCCTTATCATCGCCTCTTGATCCAAATTTGAAACTCAAAGCAAATGAATAAGTTCCTCTATCAGATCCCAGCTGCTATAGAAAATTGGTTAGGAAGCTGAATTTCTTAACCAACACAAGATTGGATATAGCTTTCAGTGTTCAACATCTGAGCCAGTTTATGAAAGATCCAAGAGAACCACATTTAAAGTGTCACGACCCAAGTTCTCCCGCCGTGAACTATCGTGACGGCACCTAGTCTCTACGACTAGGTAAGCCTAACAAATTGCGAAAAAAGGAAATAAAATACGAAACTGGTAAGTTACGATTAAAGCATAATAAAAGAGTTTAAAATGTCGCTCGGCATATACAATACACACTCTCAAAACTAAAACAAAAACCCCCAAAACCCGGAATCTCATGAAATCACAAGCTAGAGAAGACTACATATTGTTCTAACTCCAGAATGTCTAATCAAAAGAAAATACAGGAAGTCTAAAGCTAAAGGGAAGAATAGAGAGGCACTTCTAGGTCAGCAGACACGGCAGATATACCTTGAAGTCTCTGATATCGCCTGCCTCACTGATAGAATGACTGAGCAGAAGAACCTGGATCTGCACATGAAAAATATGTGCAGGAAAGGGCATGAGTACACCACAGCGGTACCCAGTATGTGCCAAGCCTAACCTCGGTCGAGCAGTGACGGGGAAGGTCAGGACCCTACTGGTTATATATATATAAAACAAGGAAAAATAGTATGAAATGCGATAGTATAATTAAAATACTAACAATCGATAAAGAATGGAATCACAGAAAGAATATAACTTAGTACAGAGAGATAGCAACAGGGGATCCCCCAGGATATCGCCCCGTAGTCCCAAATATAAATGTGTAGAGGATCTCCCGAAATATCGTCCCGTAGTCCGAATCATAAATATGCAGGGGAATCTCCTGGAATACCAACCGTAGTCCCAAAGTAAATATTCAGTACAGGGAAATCTCCCGGGATGTCATCCCGTAGTCCCAAATATAAATGTGCAGGGAGATCTCCCGGAATACCGATCCGTAATCCCAAAGTAAACATGCAGGGGGATCTCCAGGGATATCGTCTCTTAGTCCCAAAGTAAACACACAACAGTCTCAAGAAAAGAATCTACAGTTCTATTCAAGTTCGTACCAAGAAAACAGAGATTTCTATTCTAAACATGCTGCACAAAATTCAAGTATAAAGTTTAAGTAGGTAGAATAGCTAAATCACTTAAGCAAGCTTTCCTAAGCTAAACAGTAGGCTTTTAAGATACAAGTAGTGTTCAACAAAAAGGAAACACAAATATGTACTTAATGAAAACGGGTTTGTTCCAACAATTAGCACGTGTACGCACTCGTCACCTCACGTACACGACATTCATACAACAACAATACCAAATCCTAAGGGGAGTTCCCCACACAAGGTTAGGCAAGACACTTACCTCGAACCAGCTCAAAATCAATCCGAAATCACGCTCTTGCCACGAGTATCCAACTCCGAGTGGCCCAAATCTAATCATATCAATGTCATAACGTAAATACAACTACAAATAACTAATTTGGCTAAAGAAATCGAAGCTAAGGCAAGAAAATACAAGAATGCCCAAAAATCCTTCCCGGGCCCATGTCTCGGAATCGGGTAAAAGTTACCAATTTAGAACACCCATTCACTCACGAGAACACTCATCCGAAAATCACTCAATTCCGACAACTAAAACCCAATCAAAACCCAAAAACATGGTTGGGGAACCTTTCCTCAATTCTCCCAATTTTTCACCCCAAATATGAAATTAAATGACCAAACTAAGCTTAGATTAATGGAATACAACCAAAAAGGGATTAGGAATCATTACCCAATGATCTTCTCTTCAAAATCCCCACGGAATCGTCTCCCACCGAGCTCCAATTCAATTTTTGTGTTATGAAATTTCAAACCCTCGAATTTTTTATATCTGCCCAGCGATTTTCGCATCTGCGGTTCATGGGCCGCACCTGCGGTCCCGCACCTGCGACTTGGGCTCCGCATCTACGGAATTTCATTAACTCGCTAGGCACCGCACCTGCGCTCCCTTCCCCGCAGATGCAGTCCGCTTCTGCGGTCCTTTAGCCGCATTTGCGGTCACTGGCCTTTGTGCCCTAAACTGCACCTGCGACTTCTTTCCTTGCTTCTGCAGGCCACACCTGCGGGCTCCTCATCGCATGTGCGAAAATACCAGAAGCAGCAAACTTCAGAATAGCCTAAGTCCAAATTCAACTTCCGTTAAGCATCCGAAACTCACCCGAGGCCCTCGGGACCTCAACCAAACATACCAACCAATCCTAAAACATCATACGGAATCAGTCCAACTCTCAAATCGCATCAAACAATGCTAAAACCACGAATCACCCTCCAATCCAAGCCTAAAGAACTTGAAATTTCAAGAATCCTACATCCGATACCGGAACCAACCAAACCATGTTTGATTGACCCCAAATTTTGCACACAAGTAACATTCAACACTATGGAGCTATTCCAACTTTCGGAATCGAATTCCGACCTCGATATCAAAATTTCACTATTGATCCGGAAACTTCAAAAATTTTAACTTTCGGCATTTCAAGCCTAAGTAAGCTACGGACCTCTAAAATACAATCCGAATACGCTCATAAGCCCAAAATCACTCAACGGAGCTAACGGAATCAACAGAATTCCATTCCGAGGCCGTCTTCACAATGTTCCGACTACGGTCCAAATTCTAAAGCGTAAGCTCTCATTTAGGGACTACGTATCCCAAAACACTCCAAAACTCCAAACGAATCCTCCCGGCAACTCATAGTAGCAGAAATAAATACGGAAAAAAGCAGTTAATAGGGGATCGGGGAACAAATTCTCAAAGCGACCGGCCGGGTCGTTGCATAAAGGCAGCCTATCACCTGTTAAGATACTTGAACACTGATCCGAGCCTAGGAATTTTCTTTTCCAAAGATAATGACTGCATGGTGAAAGCATACTGTGACTCTGACTGGGCATCCTGCCCAGATTCCAAGAAATTAGTCACTGGTTACATTGTCCTGCTGGCAAATAGCCCTATCAGCTGGAAATCAAAGAAGCAGGAAACCATTTCCTTGTCATCAGCAGAAGCAGAATATAAGTCCATCAGGAAAGTGGTTGGTGAGTTAGTGTGGTTGCAAAGGTTACTTGAGGAGCTCACAGTTCCATTCTCCAGTCCCATTGCAGTGTTTAGCGATAGTTCGTCAACACTTCACATAGCAAAGAACCCGGTATTCCACGAACGAACAAAGCACATTGAAGTCGACTACCATTTTATTCAAAACAAACTCCAAGAGGGCCTCATTTCTCTACATCACCTTGGGGCTAACCATCAACTTGCAGATATTTTCACTAAGGCCCTCACATGGATTAAACATTCAAGCATGCTTAGCAAGTTGGCAGTGATACCCTCACTTCCAACATGAGGGGGAGTATTGAGATATATTACACTATTTAAAACTGAGGTTGTACTTATAGCTTCAGCAGTTGTAATATTCAGCTAGTTTATTAAGAGACTAAGTCGGTTAGGTTTCCATTAGTTAGTTAGTTGGTTAGTTGGTTAGTTTTTTTTGCTTCTTTTTGATTGAGTAGCTGTATATATACAACATTACAGAGTAAATGCAATTGAGACTTTCACTTCTTAGTTCTCTTTTTCTCTGTTCTCGCACATGCTCCTAATTTGGGGCTTCTTCTCCAAATCTCCATTTCCACCATTCGAGCTCACCTCGAGCTCAATTGCTTCATTGTGTCACTGATTTTGATAGAGTTTTTTGAATTTCTTACGAAAAAAACCCTAGGTAATTTACATGCGGGTTCAAAATTACAAGATAATTTACATGAGGATTTTAAATTCCACAAATAGTAATAACCTTTGAAGGATTTTCCATCGGATTTTTGTTAGATGGAAAATTACAGGAAATTAAATTACCTGGAAATTTTCCTATATAATCCCTAGAAAAATCACCATGTAATTTTTGATTTTCTCGTAGTGATATGATTAAAATTTGATTATGGTTTCTTCCCCTGTTAAGCGTTTGATGTACATACAGATATATAATGGCTTTTCATTTGATTCAGATATTGTATATATACTTCATATTCTTATCTTTGAAATAATAATATCATTGAAATAAGAAAGAAGAGAAATATTCGAACTTGAATCTTCGATGATCTCGATGAGATTGATATTCCAATCTTTCTTCTTAGAACGTATTGATTTGACCCCATAAGCGGGACCAAGCATGTTGCCGCCAGTCACTTAACTTGATTGAATCCATTATGGATTAAATAAATCTAAGTAAATTGTAGTTTTGTTTTCCACTTAATTTATTCTCCCATATACGCCCAAATCGGTCAATAATATCAGAATCTGATAAATCGGACCAAACCGGTTTACTAATGGGATGCCCTAATACGGTACAAAAGTATATATATATATATATATATATATATATATATATATATATATATATATATATATATATATATATATATATATATATATATATATACACGAGTAATAGAGTTCAAAGTTTTGGAGTTCTCAGATAAACGCGTATAAGGGGAAACTTTTAAAACCCATGCTCTGATTATTGAGAATTCTGTATTATAATTGTTCAAAGGCGTGGGAAGTTTTTTAAAAAATAACACCGGTTCAAACATTCTGTAGATATGCCTTGGATCACGGGAATTTCTGACGGAGGCTAAGAGGTAAGCAACTAATTAGAGTACTAAATATTCGTTTAACATTTTCAACACCACACAACCCATGCATTACCTGTTATTACACTGTATTTGTAAAATAAATTCTGGAAATATAAATGAATATAAACAGTAATGAATATAAACAAAAATGACATAAACCAATTCGAGTCCACTGAATTCACAGTGTTTCCTTAAGGAATTTAATCCCCTCCTAGTACCCAAGGTTATGGATTATTTCCTCCCAGGATAGAACGAATTACACACTGGTGTAGTGGTACTTCAAACCCCAGTGTTTCAGCGAACACAAAGTTCGGTAGCAAATCACACTTACTTTTTGCTTTGTTTTGATGCTAAAAGTATGCAGAAGAAGGAGAGGAAACTCAGAAAATTGTAGTTAAAATTCTGAGCAGAATAGTGTTGTATTTATAGCCAAAGTTGGGTCTCTTCAGAATGGCTGTTTATGCAAAACGCCCACAACATAAATGCCATTACATAAATGGCCATTTACTCAATAATAAAGAGGGAAAATAAAGAGGGAAAATTGAAGAGGGTAGTTACTTTTCTGTTACCAAAACAGAAAAACGGATTGGATTTAACTATTAACAAATAAATTTGGTCCAAAAGGTTAATCAATCAATCGATCATTTGACCAAATCCGAATCCGAATCCGAATCCGAAGCCGAAGCCGTAGCCGAAGCCGAAGCCGAAGCCGAAGCCGAGCCGAGCGAGCGACGACGACGACGGCGCGAGGCTTGCCTTCTTCTCAACTCTTTAAGAGCTAGAAGAAGAGCAATTGCTTATATACCCATAAAAAACCTCTTCCTCTTCCAATATGGGACAATGCCCATTTGCCAAGGGAAGGGGAACTTAAAATTTCACTCAAAAATTTCATTTCCCTCCATTTCCTATTCACCCTCTTTTAAGTATTTAATATATTAATTAAATACCTTAAAAACCCAACAATCCCCCACATGAATGGGGAATGGCTATATCACGGAAGTATGCATGAAAAACTGTGTGATTCACAAGTAAGGATTAATTGCATCTGGATAAGTAGGTTTCCCTTTGAACTTTCCGTAGTGAACTTATGTCGGATATACTCGATCAATCGGTAGATTTGATATCTTTGAACCGTCGAACTTTAGTGTATACCTAGACAACCACAAGTCACACAACCAACCCTTAACCGTCTTTGGTTCTCATTGTTGTGTTCGTTTCAGCCATGAACACCGCCTGGTTTCATAAGTGCGTAGAGAACTGGCCTTACAATGTTCTCCTTGAAGCGGCTAACACTTCACACTTACATAGGTGATTCCTAAACGTGTCATCCCGTAGATACACTATTTGATATACCCCGTATCAAATTTAGAAATCATTAAAAAGCCTTAATGCTTTATCCTTGGTACTGAACATTGTCTCATCACGAGAATGGACCAAAAGTTTAGTTGACAATGTTGAACCGTCATAAATGACTTTGTTTGATCTCCTTGAACCTAGATCTTGGGATCTCCAGTCTTCTAGGTAGAGTTACCGCCACTATGACTTGTTCTCGGCCACAGTCCCATTCCCCTTGATGACTTCTCAACTACCTCTCTAGTTAGGCCTTTTGTAAGTGGATCCGACACATTATCACTTGACTTTACATAGTCAATCGTGATAATTCCTCTAGAGAGTAATTGTCTAACGGTTTTATGTCTTCGTCGTATATGGCGAGACTTACCGTTATACATAACGCTCCCAGCCCTTCCAATTGCCGCTTGACTATCACAATGTATGCATATTGGTGCCAACGGTTTGGGCCAAAATGGAATATCTTCCAAGAAATTCCGGAGCCATTCAGCTTCTTCACCGGCTTTATCCAAGGCTATGAACTCAGCCTCCATTGTAGAGCGGGCAATACAAGTTTGTTTGGATGACTTCCAAGATACCGCTCCTCCACCAATAGTGAATACATATCCACTTGTGGACTTGGAATCAGTTGATCCGGTGATCCAATTTGCATCACAGTATCCCTCAATGACCGCAGGATATTTATTGTAATGCAAAGCAAAGTCCTGGGTATGTACTAAATACCCCAAAACTCGTTTCATGGCCATCCAATGAGATTGGCCTGGATTGCTCGTATATCGACTCAATTTACTTATAGCACAAGCTATATCTGGTCGTGTACAATTCATGATGTACATTAAGCAACCCAACACACGAGCATAATCCAATTGTGATATGCTCTGGCCTTTGTTCTTTGCTAATGCAAGATTCACATCAATTGGAGTCTTTGCAACTTTAAAGCCCAAGTGCTTGAATTTTTCAAGTACTGTCTTAATATAATGAGATTGTGACAATGCTAGACCTTGAGAAGTCTTATGGATCTTAATTCCCAGAATTAAATCAGCAACTCCCAAGTCTTTCATATCAAACTTGCTAGTTAGCATACGCTTAGTAGCATTTATGTTGGCAATGTCATTACTCATTATGAGCATATCATCCACATATAAGCAAACAATGACTATGTGATTTGGAACATTTTTAATGTACACACATTTATCACATTCATTTATCTTAAATCCATTTGACAACATTGTTTGGTCAAATTTAGCATGCCATTGTTTGGGTGCTTGTTTTAATCCGTAAAGGGACTTAACAAGTCTACAGACCTTCTTTTCTTTACCTGGAACCACAAACCCTTCAGGTTGTTCCATGTAAATTTCTTCCTCCAACTCTCCATTTAAGAAGGCCGTCTTAACATCCATTTGATGAATTTCAAGACCATAAACTGCAGCTAACGCTACTAACGTTCGTATGGATGTAATTCTTGTAACTGGAGAGTATGTATCAAAGTAGTCAAGACCTTCTCGTTGTCTATACCCTTTGACCACAAGTCTTGCCTTATACTTGTCAATAGTACCATCATCTTTTATTTTCCTCTTAAAGATCCATTTAGATCCCAACGGTTTGTTTCCAGGAGGAAGATCAACCAATTCTCATGTATGGTTGTTTAGTATGGATTCTATTTCACTATTGACCGCCTCTTTCCATAACAATGATTCCGAAGAAGACATAGCTTCTTTAAATGTTTGAGGCTCATTTTCCAATAAGAAAGTCACAAAATCTGGTCCAAATGAAGTAGACGTTCTTTGACGTTTACTACGTCTTGGATCTTCTTGGTTAAGTGTACTTTCTTTTGTTTCTTCCCGAGGTCGTTTAGATCCTTCACCAATCGACTCACATTCCTTTTTATACGGATATATATTTTCAAAGAACTCAGCATTATCTGATTCTATAACCGTATTATTATGAATGTCGGGATTTTCTAATTTATGAACCAGAAATCGATATTTGACCAAATCCAAATCCGAATCCGAATCCGAAGCCGAAGCCGAAGCCGAAGCCGAAGCCGTAGCCGTAGCCGTAGCCGAAGCCGAAGCCGAGCCGAGCGAGCGACGACGACGACGGCGCGAGGCTTGCCTTCTTCTCAACTCTTTAAGAGCTAGAAGAAGAGCAATTGCTTATATACCCATAAAAACCTCTTCCTCTTCCAATATGGGACAATGCCCATTTGCCAAGGGAGAGGGAACTTAAAATTTCACTCAAAAATTTCATTTCCCTCCATTTCCCATTCACCCTCTTTTAAGTATTTAATATATTAATTAAATACCTTAAAAACCCAACATTACCATAATTGAAGCCCTCCAACTTTCCCATAAGAACAAACGGGGAGAAATTAAAAAATAGCCAGATTTACCACTGGTCGTTGAAAAATAGCCAAGTTTCAAAAGTCATCGAAATTTAGCCACTTTAAATCTGAGCGAAAACACTGTTCAAAATCCGGAAAAATACGCCCGCAAATTTTACGGGAGTTCCAGCATAAGTATGCTTGAACTCCCGTAAATTTTACGGGAGTTCCAGGATAACTATGCTGGAACTCCCGCAAATTTTACGGGAGTTCAAGCATAATTATGCTGGAACTCCCGCAAATTTTACGGGAGTTCCAGCAAGTATAATTGTCCATTATAATATACTGGAGTTTGGAGCACTGGTGCTCCAGTCTCCCGCAAATTTTACAGGAGTTAGCAAAGTATACCGGTCCAGCATAATATGCTGGAGTTCGTACACAAATGCACCAGAACTCCCGTATATTATACTGGACCGGTCCCTGTTGCAGCAAAATAGTGGCTATTTTTCATTGACTTGATAAACGCTGGCTATTTTTCATTGACCAATGTGAAAACTGACTATACCATGATATTTTAACGAACAAACGTGCTGGGCATAAAGCTAGTATATATTCATTTGTCTCATATTTTATGTCAAACATTTTTCTTTTTAAATTGCTTTAAAAGGAATGAAATCTTTTTCTTATCGAATGTAAGATGGAAAATATCATACATGTTAACAGTAGTCTCTCCTTTCATTTTATATAACTCTCTCTCTCTCTCCTTTTTAGTCTATTTTAATAATTTTTTATATTTAAAAATAATTTAACTTACCATTTAAAACATGATTTTATAATCACAAATCTATCATGATATTTTAAACAATATCACTGGTTCAAACATTCCATAGAGATGCCTTAGATCACGAAAATCTCTAGTACTGGCGGAGGCTAAAAGGTAAGCAACTAATTAGATTACTAGATATTAAAAAGTGAAAACTTCTCACTCTAGAAAGTAGATGACTATACCACCCATTTCCACTGGCATAACCACCTCAATCCAACCCAAACTACCAGATATTCCAACCAATACTATGACAAGCGTGAATCGATCAAATGATCATAATCCTACTCCCCTAGGAGACTCTCCCTCTTTCAAAGAAATACTACTCACCGGACCCCACTCTAACCTAATAGCACTAAAAGGGGAGATGTCTTCCCCAATGACCATACACCAAGAAGCGGAATTAACAACATCAGTAATGCATGACACGCGATTGGAGGAACCTGTAAAGGAAGGCTACTGTATTAGCCTATCACCAGATGATCTCCGGCGAATCTACCATCCTTGGAA